CGGGTATAATAAGTTTATCCTTTCAGTACCCAGTTATGGATAAACATTACCCCCGGTAGAAGATTATCCATATCGGGTATAATAAGCTTATCCTTTCAGTACTCCGTTATGGATAAACATTGCTCTCAGTAGAAGATTATCCATATCTGGTATAGTAGCAGCTCACACAGCAGCTTCTTTTCTTCTATAAATAAAAGAGATTTCAGTTCATTATGTACATCAGTTTGAATTCGAATAATATATCAGTTTCTCTCTATACTTGTCTTTACTTTATAGTCTTTATTTTATAACATATAACTATTTTTTACATTATCGATATATACATTTTAAATCACGCCAAAAAAAAGTATGTGATGACAAAATGAGTATTCAGGATTATAATAAGTGACCGACTATGGCCCCCCTAAATAACCCCAGAAATCCCTTTAACACTTATTGTAAATTATATGTGGCCAAAAAGGGACAAGGACATGACCTAATCACCCACATAGAAAGTTTCAACTCCTATTATTATATATCATCCAATGATTTAAGCTACGTTTATTTTGTCTCTCTCACTCAATGCCCAAGCATTTTTATTTTAAGACCAGAAAACCAATAGATACAGTTACACATTCCTTTGGTTAATTTATATTTTTTGTTTCTTATTGAGTAGTCCTTTTCTTACCAAGCTCATAAGGAAACAATAATAATGACAAGAATTATTTAATCAAATCAAGAAAAATCTTTATATAGATATGACTTCTTTTTCCTTCTTTCTTTCATTTCTTAACTTTTAGTACTATATTCACAGATTTTAATGGGGTCCATTAAACATTGGTCATAGTTATCCTTTTCTTACCTAATTTTGTTTTTCAATTTGTTGTAGGAGATTTCCTGGTAAGACTCCATTGAGCTTAGATGTCTTTTATTTACCTTATCAATCAATGTAAAGGTACTTGATTTTTTTTAAAAAAAAATTGACTTTGTCAAGAACGCAATTTAATATATAAAGTAGTCATACCAAGGTCGCTGAAAACGTGGATTTGTTTCAAACGTGAAATTTTGACACTTATAGGTCAAAAATAATATACTAATCGAGAGAGAGAGAGGTTTCTTTCAAAGAATTAAGAAAATATTTTAACGGGAAAAAGAAATTAATAAAGCAAGAAGAATATATTTCAATCTTCACATACGACAAATCTTTGCCCACATCATCAAAGAAAAAATATATATAAAATTGCTATCAAAAGCAATGCCTAAAGTAGCATCATAATACAAAGTAATTTAGTATAGTGATAAACTTTATATCATCTTATCACCACCTTTTCGGTAAAAAATGCATGAAAGCAATGGCAGCCTTCAGTTTAGGATAAGACTAAGGTTGCATCACTAAAAAGATTGATTTTCAAGTATATGACATATTCAATGCACATTCAGTTGATCAACATTTTCCAATAGCTGTTCTTTTTTTTTTAAACGTTTGAAGAAATTAATTATCAAAATAATGAAGTGGTTAGTTAGTAACTGAATTTTTTTTCTGAAAATAATAAAAAGTATAATCATGTTGGCAAATCGAATAAAAATTTGATTAACTTTTTTTGGTAGCATATTAAAGATGTAATTAATATTTTAAGTGTCGGTTGGAGCAGTGATATCACATTCCCTTGACTTGCATGCTATGCAAGATTTGGATTATCTTTAAATTGTCAAATTATGTTTAGCTATCAACCTTACATTATTCTATTACCTAACATTCCAATTACTAAAAGAAAACATAATTTGTTTTCCCACGACATTTCATTATTATAAAGATTTTCATTCTTTTAAGAAATACATGTACAAAAGCCTGAGACATATCAACTTCTCCGGTCTTGCATGAGATGCCAGATTAAGGTTGTCGGTGTTGTATTTATTATGTTGTACAAATTTGATATAAAAATTGTAAACCTCCAGATTTTCCAATATGATAGAGGTTTTCTATATTACGAATTTTTCAGTAAATATGGAACAGATAATATTTTTTTAAAAATTACTAGTAGTAGCTATTATGAGAACTAGTCCAACCATCCAAAGTATTATAATGTCAGAATTAATGGAACGATATATTAATGGAGTGGTGGACAGCTTGAGTAATTAGTGATAATCTCTATTAATTCTTTCTATAAACACACAATATATTTATATATTAATGGGGTGGTGGCACCTTCTACACGCAAATGGTAATGATTTGAAATTTGAAGGAGAAAGCTTATTAGACGTTGAAAATGTGGAGAAGGCGTTGCCCATTTGACCAACATACTCCGTTGTGACAAAATTCAAACCCCACTCTTATCCGTTGAATACCATGAGAAAAAGAATGATTTTAAGGTTGATGTACAATCAATATTTTATAAAAATGGTAGCTAAAATGTCAAAGATTTTTGTGGGAGTGGTTGGATGGGGATCATTATGCGTATGATTACTACATTATTCTTTAATCTTTTCACCATATGAAGGTAGAGTTTAACTTTATACACGGACAACGTAAAATTATTTTACTAATTCACTTAAAAGATAAATACATGTAATTGTTCAAAATAAATAAAATTAGTAATATAAAAAAGAAGAAGACAATTTGTTACAACAAGTTAAAATATACTGATAATGTAAAAATTCGATATAATATTAATATTTACAAGTAGAATTGTTCAACGAGAATTTGGATAGGTATTTTCATCAATTGCCATGCCTTTTGTTGGGTAAGATTTTGTGATATCATTTGTACCACCAGCTTTGAATTAAAATTTGTTGCCCTGCTACAACCTCATTAAAAGTCAAATAACTTACTATCTAAACATATTGCATTCATTGATTTTTAGAAAATTCTATATCTGGTGACTCATGACTCATATATAAGTATTAGATTGTATTACAAAGAAGACTTTTAGGAGATTTCACATGTCAAATGACAAAAATATATGTCTTGTGGATGAAGGAATTTGTTGAATGAGTTTGGTCTTTATCTTTTAATTTGCTTTTTTGCAATAGTCATCGAAGTGATGGCTTTGTATTTCTTGACATGATATAGCTTTTTCACTTTCTTTTTTCTTCTTTACTTTTAGAATAAATGGGAATTGCACTTCAAGGATAAGTCAACTTCTTATGGTACACTAATTTTATATATAATTAAAAAAAGACAGGGATTGGATGCTTCTTGGAAGAAGCAAATAGATAAAGGAAAATAGCTACCACGCCAAGAGAGTTGGACCACAGAAAGAGAAGAGAATAGAGTAATTCTCCAGAAAAAAATTGTCAATTACCTAGAAAAGATTAGCAATGGAAAGTGTGTAGGAGGGTGCTCGATCGGCTAAGATTATAAGTTGGTTAAATTGATTTATAAACATTTTTTAGTATGTTTATGTGTTTAATACATGTACACTCAAAGAGCTTATAACTCAAATTCCGTCAAACAGGTAACCGTCTACTAATTACTTTTCGCACTTTTACTTTTGACCAATTTTTTTACTATTTTATCATTAACACTTTATTAATTGGATCAAGAACCAAATCATTTTTCTGTACTAATATATGACATCAAATAATTTCCCATTTTCGTTTGGATAACTCAGGTTGTAAGACATCTTATATAACGTTTAATACACTAAACCATCTTCTATTTAGTTCAATGATAAGAGTGCAGTGTGACGTGTGAGTTAGACATACATCAGGAATTTGAAAGATTTTTTGTTTTTGTTTTTACGTGTACAAAGATGGAGGAACAAATACATTACTAGACGAGTGCCGGATTACATTGCCTGACTTTTGTTTTCTCGATTATAAGAAAAATAGCTAAAATAGTGAGAAGATTGGTTGCTATTTTGATGTTGTAACAACAATTCATTAGGTTTTGAAAAACATGAGTAAATTTAAGACTAATGTGGCAAAAGCATGTCAGTCTNATATATATGAAAAGTATAGATCAACTAACCATATAATTCGAGCGATGTTCCAAAACTACACTGTTGAAAGGGAGTGGCCAAGAAATGAAGTTTGAAGATGACTCGCATAGTGATCAACAGCTCTTTACAGATGTAACATTCTTTTAGATGTAGGAGATTAAAGTGCTACGGTAAATAATTAATTAGTCATTTGATAAGGAAGGCCAAAAGAAAAAAGAGAGAAGGTAAACTAGAAGATTTTGAAAAAATAAACATAGTAACGATGACACAGTAGTTGCATTAGCCTCAAAGGAACGTAAAAATGTACTCTGCATCAAGTATTTACACGTATAATATTTGCACTTAACCATGCATGATTGATTAATACGTATATATTGCCACCTCATTAAATCATTTTTAACCCTGATAGTTGGAGGAAATCAGTTAAAGAGACTTCTACAAAACGAATACAAGTCCATGACTCCGAATTTTCTTTTTTTAATACTTTCCTAGTTGGCATGTCTTAGTTGGCAATGGGTAAGGAGTAAATGGAAAATACGAAAAAATATAAAACAAATCTCTTACATGGAAAAGGAAACGCCCTTTTGCCCTGAAGACCAATGCTCCTTCATCTTTTTCTTTTTTTCCCCTTCTCGACTCTGCAGCAGTATCCCGCAATCGAGTCTTTTACTTACTTTTCTTTTAAAACAAAGAACAAGAGTCTTGTTTTGAAGGGAAAAAAAATAACATCATCAACGTTTTGGTTTTAATTTTTTCTTTTTTAAGTTTTTTTCTTTTTCTTTTTTGCTTGAATCTGAAAAACCAATTTCATGAATCACAATTACATGTGTGGTTGATAGAATATAAATTTAAAGAGTAACATCAAAGTTACAGAATCGCACTAGCCGAAACTGAGAAGTAAAAAAATCAAATCATACCGCATTTATTTCAGTATAATATTGGTACAACATACTATTTAGAATCAAAAACCAAACCAAAACCGATTCGATGAACACTACTAATAAAATTGACATTACCAAGCCTGCTAGTTCTATGGGCGCTATTGCAGCAGAACCCTCCGTTTGGGCACAATGTTAACAACATCCAACCTGAGCGCTCTCCAAAGACCTTGAGGACGGATATGAAGACGACATATGAAATCTCCAGCAGGGTGCAGATGAGAGAGCCTACGGACCATTTAGTGAATCCTGATTGGTTTAGTTTCCTAAAGCTAGATCATTTTTGTATTGCTGTTCCACCATTGGAGGTAGGAGAAGAGCAAGCCTGGTTTTGTATCTTGCAATTCGACGAAGTCTTTCTTCCCTTAATCTGCAGATTTCCAAGCACAACCAATCATATAATCACCGATAAAATCTACAACCAATTTCCAGCTAATCGCATTTAATCCATATACCCCCTCCCCACCCTGGAGACAAAGGAAAGGAAGAGAAAGACGGGAAACAACTGCTAGAAGAATGGCTGCGAAATATAGTGAACTACTGGCTATAGATCTATCACAGTTCATGATCTGCTTCATCAGATCAATGTTTCCAGCCAGAAAGTCAATTTGTCAGCTAAATCTCCTAGTTTCTGAGCCGCGATAGGTCATTATCGGAAATAATGGAGATGGCCGATAACCGGCCACTCTCAGATTTTGTGCACCAGAGGAATCCGAATGCATGTTTCTGTACTTTAAACTCTTTCTTCAAGCGTCTAATTTTGTTTGCATCTCTGAGCTCCGAAAGGGGCAGAGCAGGTTAATTACATGATTAAAGAAGACAACTACTTTTTCTTTTTCCTATTCAGATAAAGTGACAAAATTTTCCTTCCATTTATCAAAGGGCTAATAGTAACATTGGGATTTTGGATAAAGAAAAATGCAAACATCGCTAACCTACTATACTTCATGAATATATATATATATGTGTGTGTAACAACAACAACAACAACCCAGTATAATCCCACTTAGTGGGGTATGGGGAGGGTAGTGTGTACGCAGACCTTACCCCTACCCTGGGGTAGAGAGGCTGTTTCCAAATAGACCCCCGGCATCCTTCCCTCCAAGAACTTCCCACCTTGCTCTTGGGGAGACTTGAACTCACAACCTCTTGTGTGTGTGCGCGCGCGCGCATATTCTTTCCCTTGCTGAACCAAATTACTGACTTCTTCTCTAATCTTAACAAATACAAAATGCCGAAGTTGAAGCTAATCAGCAAAGGAAAAAGTAGATTTCATAATACGTGACCTTCCCACTCTTTGGGGCACCACGGAGAAAGGGTGCCAGAAGCAGCTCAATCCACAAGGTAACAGTTACATCCTTAATTTTGAAAAGCCAAAAGATCACAAATGTTTCTTACCGTGATCTAATCCTTTTAGCACGCTTGACATGTCTTTGCAAAAGTTCCTTTGGAGATAAATGCTCGACAGACCCCCCATCCTGCAGGTAGACAAAAGCAGAATCATTTGTTCCATTCTATACCAAACGCCAATTGCCATCTCAACTACCCAACCACATCAACAACTAGGTGCAACTATGCAGGCTGCTATGCAATCAGACATGAGAATCCTTACACATAATGAGCTGACTAGAAATGACAAAGCCATAAATTTGCAACATGGCTTTAGCAGCACCCAGAGACAAAGATTAAAAGAGATAAACACGCCTCCACGGACATGCTGAGAGTATGTCAACCTCAGAAAAGATTTTGTATGTTATAAAACTCAGGATCCAGTGCCCACAATTGAGCTTGCTTAACCTTTGAAAAAATATTTTAGAGATACAAACAAATTGAGTATGGAGCTACTAGCTAGTATAGAACAAAGTAGAACTGCTGAAGCCTTGAAAACTTCCGAGTGTGGAAATACAAATAAACAGAATGTTGGAAATAGCCTCTTGAGATCCAACATACTCCCCTATTTCCTAAATGATTGAACTGCTCATATTTCAAGGATACGTCCAATGCCTTTGATGAAAAAAAAAATCTCTTATAACGCACACCACGAGTAATCAACCAGACAGCCTATCCAACTCAGACATGGCCTCACACCAAGTACTGCAGCTGGGAATACGTACCTAGGATCTCTAGGCTGTTACTCCCATGCCTCAAAACACTAGGCCATCCCTTAGGACATGCTTTTGATGAAAGTTAACATCCAATTGACTTGTAATTCAAAAGGAACTCAGGAACTAAATATACCATATTTTCAAAACTTGGGCATTTCAAAAAATAGTACAAAATCCTGGAAGAGCGCGATTGCATAGCACAAGTCATTGATCTTATCTAGACAGCAATAACTGCCTGGCAGATTTAATGCTCAGCAAGGAGTAAACATGGTCAGATATGGAGGTTTTGGCACATAAACATTAACTGAGATCCATCTTCATTTGCTACTAAAAATCAACAGCCCAGACACCTTAGAAACCAGTAATCTCAGCTACACCAATCGTAAGTTTTGAGTTGGTTATTCTGTTTATTAAGTGGCTGGAAAACACATCTATTCTTGCTTTCTTGCATCAATAACCAACTATTAATATAAACAAAATTAGTGTTGAGAAGAGTCATAACCACAAAACTAAGCAAATGGTAGAGAAAAGCAAAAGGTAGCAAACAAGTGGAATACCAGATACAAGTGATTCAACATAAGTTAAAATAAGACTACGACCTGACCTGGAATATGAAAATTGTAATAAATAAATAAAAGATAGCAAAGGAACAGAACACCAGAAAGAAGAGTGAATCCCCAAATGATAAAGAAGACTGCATTAGTTCGAAATAACATCTACCAAAATGAGATAATAAAGATTAGAGGCAGCACCATAAAATGAGAGCGGGAGTCACCAATCTTTATACTCCCACTTCTAGAGTCTGAACCAAATGCAGGAGGATCATTTACTGGAGAATAGTTTCATATCTTTCCAAAAACTGATTGAAGGAAAGTAATGAGGGTAACAAATAATAAGAAAGATTTGGATGTAGTAAATTGATAGGCAAATGGACAACTAGATGGAAAAATTGAAAAAGGAACATACAAAATAAGCAAATACTAGAGCATGTGATGCAGTGAAGTGAGGCATACCAAATGCAACCTGCTAGCATGTTGCTGATTTAGGCATATGAGGACCCTGACTATGATATATATTCTAGGTGACATTCTCTATAATTCAACATCCCACC